TCCTAGAGGTACTCGACCTATGTGGTTCTAGGTTAGATCCAGAGGGTGCTAGATCAATCCTAGTTTTTCTAGCGTTGGAGAATTGTATTTCTACCTCTCCATCAGCGAATTGGGAGATCCGAGTAGGTTCTTGATTTTCAAGGGGCTTCTTTGGGACTATTTCATCCAAAATCCACTTTTCTGGTAGGGTTATATCACTCCACTTTATCATTTTTGGGACTGCTACGTTTGATTTTTCAAGGTTGGTTTGGAACAAGGTAGTTTCACCTTTGCTGTCTAAATCTTTAGCTTTGGGACAGACAGTGTTCATAACCTTATATGAAACCCTATAAATGATCGCTAGATTTTGGGATCCTGGGTCCATATCATAACCCTGAGTTTGAATATTTAATGTTAAAGCTTTTAAGACATTTACGTCGGAAAGTGCAACAGAAAAGTTTGGGAAACAGTTAAAGTATATCGGACCTTCCCCTAAGGTTGACTCAATTATTCCTAATAAGGAATCCGTGAACTTTCTATGTCTTTCATCTCTTACACAAATCAAGATTGAACTGGGCAATCCTGTTCTGGTAAGTGGTTTCACCGCTACCTGCACCAATCCTATGTGCAAATAGTTATAATTTCTCTCCAGATGCTGGTCGATTTGACTCTGGGTGAATAGCTGAAAACTATCTTTTTTATCAATGACAGATATTGTTTTTTCAACAGTTTTTATTACGTAATCAGATTTGAACTTGAAAGATCCTTTATAGTATATATCAGTGATGGGTACTCTGGGTATATCCCAGTTGCACAACTCCTTTTCTACGTCCCGCATGATTATTTCTTGAGAGTTTTTAACTCGTAGGGTTCTATGGCTAGGACTGTTACTAGAGCTTGCTTCTCCAGAAGAACGGATAGACAAGATTCTCCTAAGGCTTGCCATTTTAATATTCTGGGTTTTATGCTTTCCTTCTGTTCTCCTCCTAATTCAAGGTTGCTAGTCCCTGCCTAGGTCCCTCAACGCCTTAGCTTACCGGGCAACGGCTAACGAGCCTATCTGACAGCTAGACAACTCGATGACTAGTGAGTAAAGGAAACTTGACAGAAAAACCAGAAGATTAAACTAACAACTTAGTTCGAACCTTAAACTTAACAACTCTTCTAGGGACTTTAGGCTCTGATACCATGTACTGGCCCAGACTCTTAATATATATATATATATTTGCACCTCTGTTTTTTCAAATTTAAAAAAAAAAATTAAGCAATAGTGATAGGTTTATGAGCACATTTGTTTAGTTTCCCTATTAATCATGTTTTTTTTTTGGCTCATTACCATGTCTTAGTTTGCATTCGCTTTATGAATGCTTAGTTTTAAAAAAAAAATAGTTCTGATAAAAAATGAAAAGAAAATAGAATTGGAAAGATCAAATGAGATGTATCATATAACTTCATGCCCCATAGCTTGTTGGAAGTTAAACCAAAGCCCACTTTAATATTTTTAATTATTGTTGTAAAAGTTATAGGCTTAATCAGCTACTTTTGGGTTCTCAAGGAGATAAACTATTGATTGAAATTCTGAAGCTTCTAGGCTTCTTTCTCTTCTTTTGTTGCACAACCCTTCTCTTATAGGTTCTGCTGCCTCTTTGTATTTTGTTTGAACAATTAATGAAAGTTATCACTTCTTTTCCCAAAAAAAAAAAAAAAAGGCTTACATTCAAACAAATTCATTAAGCCAAATCTACATTGAACCAAATAAAAAGGCCACTACATTCGTTAAGCCAAAAGAAGGCACAAGAAGGCCACTACATTCAACCAAATAAAAAGCTAACTAATACGGTAAACAACAACAAAATTACAACCAAACAACTCAGCAGCCCACTTCGAAATTTTTTCTCTCTGTCTCTTAGCTCTTGCACAATCTTCTTGTCTTTAGCTCTTTTCTCTTCCAATGAGTTGATTCGTCTCATTAATCGACATATGACATGTTTGGCACGCTCAGACATTTTCAGTCCTTCCAATCCTTCCAACCACATCCACCACCGTACTTCTCTCTACAACACACATATAACCTCCTCCCTGCATTATCATCATACCAGCAAACAATCGTTTCAGCCTCAATTCTACACCGGCAAATACGCACCATATCATCCTCCGTAATAAAAGTGGTCGAACTTGATTCAGTAAAAGCTGCACGTATGTTCTTATGCATCCTATCTTCAACTGTAATTTCTTGTCTTGTTCATGAAATTGATGAACATAAGCGATATGAGAAGGTTAGAACGCCTGCAAATGGGGTTAGGTTTTGTCATCAAGGGTGGGTTCTGTCAAAAAGGGGTGGTTTTTGTTGAATCTCCAAGTCTGATTTCATACAAAGGCTAAAAGGGGTGGTTTCTGTGGAATAAAAAGGGGTTGAGGAATAAAAGGACGAGATTACCCTCAACAGAAGTCTCACATGCCATTCACGTGGTGTTTTTGACGGGGATTTGGATGGAATTGTGAAAAAGCTAATGGCATTGGCGAAATTGGCGAATAAATTTAATACGAAGGCTAAATTGCCTGAAAAATTAATTCAGGGTGGACATTTCAACAATCGAAATAGTCTAGGGAGTATTTGGCAGCTTACCCATATAATGTTATGATCCGGCATTGTTTGAGATGAATTAATTATCTCTTTGCACAATGAGTTCTTCTAAGCTTTTTATTCGTTGGCATGACATATGCATGTCTCTACAGTCTATACACCTCAAGATTGTACAAAATGTTCATATGCAGACGTACATCCTGAACTGGGCTCAAAGGTATAAGAGCAAAAATCCTAAACTCTAAAACGACTTTACTTCAGGTGTAATATTTTTTTTTTTTATCAAGAGAAAATTTCATTAACCTTTAAAATAAAGGCACAAACAGTCACTACAACAGTACGTAACAGGAGGGCAAAAACATATATTTTAAGTACTCACAACATCGACACAACAAAAACGTATATTTGAACGTGCACGATGAAAAAATAGTTCAATAATGATATCCAAGATGACGAGGGCCAAGACATGATCAAGATAATTAAACAAGAAGAAAAAATCTTGTTCATTGTTAACTCTCGCATAAGACATTTTACTAAATCATGAACGAGTACAAAAAGTAGTAGTTTTCACTGAGGCCAACTGTAGAGATTTTCCCAAAATTTAGTCCTTAGGGTATAGGAATACAGCCCTGTTTCAAGAATCAACCAGTTGCAATGATGAACGCACCGTTCTTGATCCCTCTTGGCCTTGTAAATGTCTATGGTACCAGACACCGATTTGCCTAGAGAACTACTTACCCAATCAAAGTTGCAAAAGAAGAGGGTCGTATCCCAGGAATTGTTCTTAAAAGTGAACTTGTAAGTTTCGCCTAATGCAACTAGATGATCTCCCAGATCATCGTCCCCGGATTTGCAATGAACTGTGACAATGGCGTTTGAAGGTTCTAGTTGGTTGGTTATTCTCAGGTAAACCGTCCCGCCCAACCATGCCGAAACCTGCAGGGAAGTTTGGTCTAATGTGAGGACCACCATGGCAACTAAAACCAATATGCTGCTGCTACCACCAGCCATTTTCTTAATTGATGTTTAGGTATTTCTATAGAGTGATGATGATTTTGTTCCTCTAAGAAAATACACACGTAATATTATATATATATAATATACAGAAATTCTCTTATGCGGACATCCGGACATTATTATCGTGCGGACGCCGTGTATTTTGTACTACCCCTCTCTGTTTTACTGCCCGTTTACAATAGGATCCGCACGATAATAATGTGCAGACATCCGGATAAGAGAATAACTGTATATATATATATATATATATATTGAATCTTGACTATTAGCCGGGTAAATTCTTACTTGATGTAGGTGGATTAGATTAACAAAATTTGATCTTTATTAATGAATTTTCAAATACATTGAATCTAGTTATGAGATTTTATGGTTATTCTATGTAAGGTACATAGTAGGAATGAAGGAAATAAGGAATTTGAGAATTTAAGAATTGGAGAAGTAATGAATCAGTATGAGAAATTTGTAGGGAGGAATATTCATATGGAATAGGTAAAGCTTTTGCCCTTTTTAACAACCAAGAAACAAGAGAAAGAAAGTTAGGTTGAATACAAAGAAATGTTGAGGACTTGAATGGACTCATAAAATAAACGAGGGGTTTGACCAAATTCAGGAGAGCCATCAACTTGTAGGCCATTTCGAATAGAAACATAGAAACACATGCTGCTCATATTATTAGACAACATTAATGTGTGTTTTTGCGTTGTGTGCTGTGAAGTATAAAGTTGAATTGTGTACAAAAATATATATATACAGTTATTCTCTTATGTGTTTTTTTTTATAGAGAAAACTCATTTGTTTTATACCAGCGATATAGAAAGGCCAAATCGATACAAGACATCGGGTGAATTCTCTTAACCACTTAACTTTAAGTCCCACAAATTAGGTATTCTATTATTGAAATTCAATTGAATGTAAATCATGCTTTTAGAGTCTCAAAGTATAACCACGGGGAAACATTTTCATGAACCTATTACTCTAGTGATATTTCTCTTCACTAATTATTGATACAACAGTGTTTTTCTTCGTATTATAAGAGTAAAGATGAACTAAAAAAGAAATACCAATTTAAAATCCCCCATTGGTATATATAATAATAATAACCAGAATTTGGGCATTTGTATGCACAGCTCAAATTATTGAAAAAATACCAATGCTTGGTGGTTCAAGTGGTAAAGAGCTTGTTCCCCTTAAGTAAGGTCTCGAGTTCGAGCCTTGCGAATAGAGCAGCCATCATTGAGAGGGCTTGCCCCCAAAATGGGGTCGACCCGGCTTGAGGGATTAGTCCTCGCCCACGTGCGGGGATACCCTGGATTCATCCAAAAATTATTGAAAAAATAAAAAAAATAAAAAAGAACAGAAAATTATTGGTTTGTGCTTACAAAAGAAAAAAGGTTACATGTAAGAGTCTAGGTCCAAAACACTTCACCCATCTCACGGCCCAGCATTGCAGCCATTACCAGAAGTAACTCACCCAACCCCCAAGTTCCTAAAACCCTGCTTCTCATCCCTCCATTGGCCCTAAAACCCATCATCCCCTTCACTAACAGAGCTCCTCACCCTCTTGACAGCCACCACCTCCTCCTTCCCTCCTCACCCTCTTTTGTTGTTTGAACACTCTGAAGCCAAGTCTTGACCGCCCTTTGCTTCAGTTCTTCTTCCGCTGCTTTGCTCCCGATTTGGCCACGGTATTTCTTAATTGCCCAATTTTTCTTCTTTAGGTTTAATTTATATTTTCTTGTAAATCTGTTTAATTTTTTCAATTTGTTTTGTCGAGTTGAGAATTGAGCTTGGTGGTTGTAAGGTTCCGGCAGTTATTAGCTAAAAATATAATTATCTCTTGTGATGCTGTGTAGGCTAGTGGTCTGTGTTGAGGGTTTATTTGGTCGCTGTGTACTGTTCTTGGTTGTCTCCATTTGGGTTTGTCAATTTTTTTTTAGATGAATGAGGTTAACTATATGTTGGATTGATGGCAGGATCAATATTAAGAAGGAGACGGTATAAAGTTGTGTCATGGGTTTTAATGTTGATGTGGGCTTTCAGCTTCCTTTTTATTTTTATTTTTTTCTTCAGGTCATTGGTTTTCAAACGTTTTTTTCTTCTCAATTTTGGCCACCAGGAGCTAATGTGCATAACTTGTCTATAGTTTGTTTGAGCTGATGTGCTTAGAACTTGGGGAATGTGAATGTTTATGTTAACAACTGAGTTACAAGAATTATGCAGAATATTGTAATTTGGGAGTTGTAGTTGTCTAAGATAAGATTTTTCTTAGTTGGGTATTTGAATTATAATTTATTACCTGAGTGTGTGTTTCAGTTTTCTACATTTTTTGGAAGACATGTTGGCTGTTAATATTGTATACCACCTCAGCTTTCGTTTGTTTTGTTTTTCAGAATCAGAGAGGTTGTCTTGTGAAAGATGAGTCTCATATCTCAAAATATTCCGTCGGCTTTTAAAGCTCGCAAGACTAATAGGGAGGATACAGATGAGCCATCATTTCTGCAAGGGAATGAACACAATGGAGATGGAAAAGAATCTAGTTTAGATATTATGAGGACAAAGAAGAGAAAGAAAGCACGCAAGGATGATGATGAGAAGGTGGCAGTTGAGCAGGAAAGGGAAATGAAGAAGCTGGAAAGCTTTTTGTTTGGATCAATTTATTCCCCAGTTAAATTTGGGAAGGATGATGAGGAGGAAGCTGGGGACACTGTGGATAAAGGCTCTGCTTTATTCTTCGTGGACCGTTCTGCAAATAGTTTGGCCCCTATTTATGAAGAGGATGCGGACTTCTCGGAAGAGGAGAATAAGGAAAGGAAACCTGTCTGGGTGGATGATGAAGAGGAAAAGGCCAACATAAATATTGCTAAAGTTAACAGACTAAGGAAGCTGAGGAAGGAAGAGGATGAGAGTTTGATTTCGGGTTCAGAGTATGTGTTAAGATTGAGGGCTCAACATGCTAAGCTGAACCCAGGCACAGAATGGTCTCAACTTGATTCAAAGTTGAGGAACAATAGATATTCTGATGATGAATCATCAGATGGCGAAAATGGGGCAGTAGTGGCCCGTGGCTACAAGGATGTAGAAGCTTTTGATGATCTTCTTCGTACAAATGAGGATCTTGTTGTGAAGAGCAGTGGCAAATTGTTGCCTGGACTTCTTGAATATTCAGTACTTGTGAATGGAAATGCAGAGGAACCTTCTAAAGGTCCAATTAATTCAGTACAGTTTCATAGAAATGCTCAGTTGCTCCTCACTGCTGGGTTGGATCGAAGGCTTAGGTTTTTTCAGATTGATGGAAAACGGAATACTAAAATAGAAAGCATTTTCCTTGATGATTGTCCCATTCGAAAGGCATCTTTTTTGCCTGATGGATCTCAGGTTATTATAGCTGGAAGGAGGAACTTCTTTTACAGCTTTGATTTAGAGAAGGCAAAGGTTGATAAAATAGGTCCCCTGGTTGGTAGAGAGGAAAAAAGCTTAGAAGTTTTTGAGGTTTCCCCTGATTCTAGCACAATTGCCTTTGTGGGCAATGAAGGTTATATCTTGTTGGTTTCCTCTAAAACGAAGGAATTGATTGGGACACTCAAGATGAATGGAACTGTTCGCTCTTTATCTTTTGCCAATGATGGGAAGCAATTATTGAGCTCCGGCGGTGATGGACAGGTTTACCACTGGGATCTGAGAACAGGGGCCTGCTTCCACAAGGCAGTTGATGAAGGTTGCATAAATGGTACAGCTCTATGTACATCTCCAAATGGGACCATGTTTGCAGCTGGTTCAGACAGTGGGATTGTCAATATCTACAATAGAGAGGAGTTTTTAGGGGGAAAGAGAAAACCTATCAAGGCCATCGAGAATCTTACAACCAAAGTAGATTTTCTGAAGTTCAATAATGATGCTCAAATATTGGCTATTTGTTCAAGCATGCAGAAGAACAGCTTAAAGTTGGTACATGTTCCATCATTTACTGTATTTTCCAACTGGCCTCCTCAGAAAAAGGCCCTACATTATCCCCGATGTTTGGATTTTAGTCCTGGCGGAGGCATCATGGCTGTGGGTAATGCTGCTGGAAAAGTGTTATTGTACAAGTTGCATCATTACCATCATGCATAGGGTGAATGTTGTGAGGGGCAGTAATGGATCACTTATAGGTAAGGTTTACCGACATTTCCAATTAAATTGGTCTAGAAAGAGTTTATCTTGGGATTCACTTAAAGGTGCCATTCTTCAAGTGCTAGGATGGCTTCTTTTTCCAGACAAATTGCTGCTCTAGTTTTGACCTATAATGTATTTCTCTCCTTTTTTCCGGACGTGTTACCAAATTTTCATTAAATTTTTTGGCAGTCTTTTTTTTGGTGGCAAGGTCTGCACATTTCATGTAATTCCCTTCTTTCATTCCAATCAATTTTATTGCAAGAACCGCCAATGTTTTCTGCTACACCCGTATTTTATACATGACAGGTTGGTAAGCCACGAGTCAGGCGGTTGTAGCAGGTATGGTTTTGAATCATATTGTGTAGGTGCAAGCGACCAGTTTTTGCACAGAAATAGTCGCATGGGAGATAATGTATTGTGGTGCATTGTAATTTTTGCCTCTCTGCGCCTCTGAACCTCATTTGTACCCAACACAAAATGTGTTATGAAGCAAATATAATTGTATGTCATATCTTATTGTTTATACAAAGCTGGTCTGTATGTACGCAGCAAATTCACAACTAAGCCACCAAAATTGTCTAAACCAACCCACCTACCACCGACAACCTACCACTGTCGCCCCCGGGTATGGTTGTCAGTGGCACCTCGCTCTCTTCCTCTTCCAGGGTGGGAGGGTCGGTAGGGGAGAAAGCACTCTTAGAAAACCGGCCGGGTTAGAATTTCGATGCTTTTGAATTAAGCTTTCTTAGCATAATTTTACTTAAGAGTTTACCAGTACTTTCATTTTACAATTCTTTTTTCCTCAGGTTCACCATCGTCAACTTTTCTGTGTGTAGGCATGGATAGTTTGGGAAAGCCCCATAACACTTCCTACAAACCCTATACACAAACTTGTATTCTGATAGAAAGAAAACAAGTAAAGAAAAAAGGAACCTCGAAAAACATCTTTGCCCACTCCAAATTGCATGGTTATCTTCAGTAATATGAGAAAAAAAAATATACATTATCTCACTTCTCCAAGCATGAAAAAATCACCAACAATGGCTAGAAAATTTCCATTATAGGGAAGGTGCTTTACAAATCGATCAAAAAGAACTTACTACTGGGTGATTTTATAACCCATCGCAGGCAGCTCTACCTCCTTGCATTGCATCAAATATACCAATTTCCTTCATTTCTTTTGTTTTCACAGTTGATTTCAACCCAAAAAGAAAAAGAAAAAAAACACTACAAGCCACTAAAATTAAACGCTAATGCAGGATCTTTCTAAGCTACTGCCTCTCACGTAGCAATCTCATCAACCTCAGAATTAAATACAAAACTTGGAAATGTAGTAGTAATATCCCTGCATAGATAAATCATAAAATTTTAAGAGATTTATGAAAGAATCACATCTGTATATGAAATAGAAAAGACTTGTTCCATACCTAAGATAGGGGAGGGTCATGATCTTTAATAAAGACGGATTCTTAGAGACAAAATTGTTCCATTCATATTTGTCAATCTTCCCATCTTGATTTACATCAGCTTCCAAGAAAGTCTGGCCACAAATATGAGAAAATTAAATGCCAAATTAATTTTGTGATGTTAGAAGCAAGGGAAATTGGAAATTAGAAAAGAGAAAAAGCAGAGATGAAAATAAAATGCTGAGATATTCAGTTTAGTCTTATCAAGATACTGAAACACAAAGAATGACTCTAAAATGTATTCACTATGGATCTCCAAATCGGTACCCCAAAATGCACTTAAATTATTATATAAAAGTCTTGTGTCAATCCCAATGGACTGGCATTCATAAGCTCAAATAAGATCAGCTATCTGCATTCCAAATATTTAACTTAACCGTGTTTTCATGAAGAAACAATCTGGAAGGCTTCAATGAGTTTCACAAGACAAATGCATACAGTTTTGTGCCTCATGTGCTCAGGCATGTCATCAATGACAACTTACCTTGTCAAGAATTAGCTCAATAGTCTCATCAGCCAGCTTCATTTCAGACTCACAAAGAAGTGCAATTAACATTTGTTTGACCTGCCAAAAACACAAACAATGAAGATGTGGGCAAGGAGGTTTAACATATCCATAAGTGAATAGGTCTGATTAGAAACTTGCAAATAGGTGCCACCATAGTAGAAAAGTAATATAAAAGAGAACATCTGAGAAGAAAAAAATACAGAGACTAACTCCTAACCTTTAAAAGATCTGAAAAAAAAATCTATACAGGAAGAAATATTCAGACCGCATCTATGGAAAAGGAGTTTCAGAATATTCAAGTGAAAAGGGAAAAAAATATATATATGCTGGAACCCTTCCAATGGCATTATTTTTCAGGTCACCTCAGATCTTTATGCTCTCGATCTCAGAGATTACTAAAAAAAGAAACAAAAATTCACAAGTTGCTGGAAATTCACTTGCTTTCTTTTTAGAATTCTAAACATTATCTTTCCATTTCCTCATCCTTCTAATCTTTTATAAGGTTAGTTTTATAAATTCAATTTGCTGAGCCACGCAGACTACTAAATTCACTTCCTTTTACTTTATTTCTTGAGAATTCTAAACTTTTTTTTCAACTCCTCATCCTTCTAGTGTTTAAAAGGTTGGTTTTATAAAATTCAATTTGCTGGGCCATTGATGCTCTACTTAAACCAACTTCAGGATACAAAGATATTTTTTACAGTCTCGTTACCATGGTGGACACAATACTTCACCACCCCCGCTATCAGTTCTAGCTATGTGAACTTCATGTTACAGTCCCATTCCCACAGGGAACATAATACTTGACCACCCCCGCAACGAGTTCTAGTTTTGCCAACTTCATGACAGAAAGATACTGGTTACATTACCACTCCCACAGGAGACACAATGCTTAACCACCCGTGCAAAGGGTTATAATTAATTTTATTTCCTAAACCATTTGGCCATAACTAAATGAGGCATACAATGTAAGAGGGGGGGAAAACAGGAAGATGGACACCAACATACCTCTTGGCGCTCAATAAATCCTGTGCTATCCAAATCATAAAGCTTAAATGAAACTGCGACACAACATTAAAAAAAAGCGCAAATTTAGAACGTAGTATAGGTATGTAAAGTGCAGTGGCACATAAAAGAACCCTGCTCTTTGAAATACTTCTAAGATATTTATATGCCCTTTCAACTTACAATCAATCTTGTCCTCTAGTTGGGCATTGGGATGGAAGACATTGAGTGATCTCACAAAGTCGCTGAAATCAATAACACCCTTTCGCTTCACATCAAACAGATCAAATATCTGCATGTAGAGTTGGTTCAAGACCAAAAGTCAAAAAAAGGAAATCTAGAGAGCAAAGATAAGTGATATTTATCATCAGTCATTTTTTGTAACAGTGCAAACTGGGACAATAGAATACCCAGCACCAGAGGTCCTGTGTTTGAATCCCCTCCCCCAATATCACTTGTGTCCAAAAAAAAATTGAATACAAGTTTTCTAATACAAGAATTTTCAATGGAAAGACCGACAAGTTTCATGAAATTAGTTTTATGTTCCTGGTAATATTTTCTAATTAATTAACAGCATTATTTCAATGTTTATATGTATAAACATAATCTGCACAAAAAACTACAGAAATAATTAAAATGATAAAATACTTACCCGATTTGCAAAGAGATTTTCTTTCTTTCTATTCTTGAAAATGGCTAGCTGAAATTCTTCCTGCATAAGAAAATTCAATGTCACGTTTTCCTAATAGATTTGTGCATATAATGCTTTGTAATATTATGTTACTATAATAGATATTTAGCAAAACATGTTAACCAGATAAGTGTATATCTTTAACATAAATATGTATCACTTATAATTCGAAGCTGATTTTGAAGATATTTGGACCCGAATTGTAAAGGCTAAGCTCCATGTTCATCAACATATGATACACTGCAATCCCTTTTAATGCTATTGAAACTTTCAATTATATAATATCGATACTGTTAACTGTTATCCCATAGTCAGTACACCCCAGTCCTTTTCCATCCACAATAATAAAAACTTGAAGATCTAAAATAAAGAAGACTGGGGAAGAGGAGGGGAGACAGTTAGCATGATGATTGCAAGGAGATACATACCTTGTTTATCAACCCATCATCAATCACAGAACTGCTAATACTCTTATATAGCTCAAAGAGTGCTTCAACTTCACTAACCGTAACTGGGGAACAAAATGATATCATTAAAGGAAACTGAGTGAGTGAGTTTGCATGTGTGCGTTAGAGAGAGAGAGAGATGAAATGATGAAATGATGAAATGATGAGTTTAACAGTACTATCTTGTAAAAGAAAATTCTGAGATAAAGGAAGATAATTTTTTTTTAAAGCCCTTGATTCTCCTTTGAGGCCATAATTGGGTCTATAACCATCAAAGCTAACACCAGTTAATTGAGAGAGAGAATTTAAAGGTTCATCTCAAGAGGACTTCAATTATTCTCCCATCTTATGGGTTTTTTTAATAGGAGCCAAAGCCCAATTCCTATAAACAAGCACTCTGAAGTAACATGAGATCAACTGGTCTTACAATCCAGACAAGGATAATTTTTTTTTAATATTGGCTGAGACAACTGAAACAAGTAGGAGAACCTGATAATAATTAGTTAAGATTAACAAACTATATATGGCTTTCATTGTTAACCATAGATTAAAATCAATGCTGGTTGGATGGACCAGCTATCATATCCAGAATTACCAGAGACTCAGGGACGTAAAAACATTTAGTCATCATGAGTCAAAAGGAGAAGTGCCTAGAACATAATGATAGGAAAAATGCAAAACCATTAACGAAACAGTGAACTTACAAGCTGTTTGCGAAGCAAGGCTCACTGGATCCTCGTGTCCAGGAAACTGCCGCCTTGCTTTAGAACTAAAACAACCCATTTAGAGCATTTATCCCACGCCAAAGGTCAGTTTACCCTCCCCTCCCCAGGCCTTAGGCCTCCTTTGTACCCAAAAAGAAAAACAGCATATTAGTGAAGAAGACAAAGCAGTAATTCTTGAATAACGCTTAGCATCACTAAAATACATCATCAAGCCCATCTTAACATTGCATCTACAGACACAAATTCAAGCATTGCCATGCAAAAATAATTAGTAAATAAAAGAATCCCATAATTACATTGCTGGACTTAATTTGTAGCTCTAAAAAGTAAAAAAATCAAATGCAAAGGAATAATTAAAACCATCCATCAATTTGTTTAAAAAAAACATCGACAACCAGAATTGAACTTATAACAGCCATCCAATACCTAAAAAAAATTACTATCTAACTGTTTGGAAAATAGATTAGGAAGAGAAAAATAAAGAAAGGTATAAATTATTTCACATACTAAGGTGCAAAAATGTCAAGCTCCATTTTTCTCTTAAATTCCTAAAAGAACTAAAGAAAAATAAATCATATTCCTTTTTCTTCTTAAAATATCAACCCAATGAAATAGTTCGATTGGACATAGATAAGCTCTAAGCAACAAATTAAGTAGTTAACACAGAATCGAACA